TTCATAGATATTACTAACAGAATGACTATACTCATAGGATAGGTACTATAAATTGATGAATGTTCATTGCTCAAAAGAATTTTAAATGTTTTGTGGTTATTCTATTAGAGAATGATTTCTTATCTCAAAGCCAATGCATTTTTCTAATCTATTTCTTGTGACAGAAGGAATGTAGTCAGTCCAGTTTAATTCCATCACTTTTCTGTTGCAGTGGTTAAGGGTAAAACACAGAAGCTGGATCTTGATATCATAACTGGCTTCTGATGCCATTATTTTAATCAGCAGGTTGTAAAAGTTGTCTGAAGCCTGATAATTTTCCTCTGGACTTCTACCCAGCTGGAGGACTGGAAAGCAATGATAGATAATTTTTTGCAGGGCCAACATTATTATAATATAGGGCTCATTTTGGAGATTATTATATCTATAGACAAACACTTTCATATGCAACACAGGACTGAATTATCCTCCTGGGCATCAATAGAGTGTTGATAGAAAAAATAATACATCACTCAGTTAACAAAGTCACAGACTGAACAAATAAATGAAAGTACTTCATGTAAAAAACACTTAGGGATTCTTATGAACAACAAACTCAAATGGAGTCAGAAGTATAATGTGGTAGCCAAAAGAGCTAACATGAGTGTCCAGAGAAAAGAAGGTGATGGTCCCACTCTTCCCTGCCCTGAGCAAGCCACTTTGGTATATTACATTTAATTCTAGGTGCCAAATTTTAGAAGCTTAATAGACATGGATGGATACACTCTGGAGTAAAACATATCCAGAGCAGTATGAGCAGAATGATGAAAGGATTTAAAATCATTCTGTATGAGGATTGGATGAGGAAACGAGGGGCAAAATCTGAAGAAGGTTAGACAGTGGTGATAGGACAGCAGTCCTCAAATATTTGAGAAGTCATTTTGCAGAAGAGTGATTAAATGTGTCCTACTTGAATCCAAAGGATACAACTAGGATTGATGGGTGGATGTTACAGAGAAGCAAGCCTGTGCTTAGCATAGAAAGAACAATCCAATGATCCCAATAGAGCTAGACAGAAACAGAATGGTTGCTTGAGAGGAGTGGTGAGTTATGAACCCTCATTGGTTTTGTTATAGAAATGATTAATGACTTGGTTTGTTATGGGATGAGGTAACCTTCTTATTCTAATAATCTAGGAATTTAACTGATATTGGCATCAACAATAACAATTAACAACGATACTTCCCAGAACAGATTTTATTCATGAGGCAAGAAGTGGCAATGAGATTTATTTTAGCCTACAAAAAAGAGTTTGCACCAATGACTGGAGGTTATCCTGAGGCAAATTTTAGCTTAGTAGAGGGAATAACTTTTTAACTATCTAAGCTGTCCCAAAATAGAGTAAGCTAACTTATAAGGTAATGAGCTCACTCCTACTTGAAGTATTTAAGCAGAGACTAGATGATCACCTGTCAGAGATATTTTATAGAGCTCTTTCTCCTTTGGTTAGAAGTTCAAGTAGATGATGCCCAAAGATGATTTCATCTAACTAATTATCTATCTATCTAAGTGCAATTTCTTAAAATATACTTTGAGCAGGAAGAACATGAGCAGAAAATAACTAGTATCAAAATGTACAGTAATATGCTGCATGGTGATGCTGTAGGATAATCAATCATAAGCAAAGCACAATTTCAGCAATTTAGTAGTGTTACTGTGGAATGCTGAGAAAACAATAGCAGTAGATAGACCAGTTTGGCATGCAACAATAAGATATAGCTCAATCAATTGGCAAGAGTTTGTTATATGACTATTACACTCCAGACATGGTGTCCAGACAAGAGCCTTACCTGGGGATTAAAAGTAATGCTACTCCTAGTGTACCTTTCTTGGTGAAAAATCTTTTGGAAAATGATGACATTTTAACTTGTGAGGTATTGATGGAATCTATTGCAGGAGAGCATGCTGCTGATCATCAAGTTGATAGCAACATAATTCTAATAAGTCCAACAGAACAGACAATGTTCCCAGGGATAAATAGAAAAGCAGAAAAACTACAAACTTAGGAATGGATATATGGCAAAACACCCAAGTTTTGTGTTAATACTTCTCTTAATTTAAGTGAACAATCATATTCTGAAATAAAAATACATATAGATGTAAAAAATGGAAGAATCAAAGACTGTAATATTGATGCACCTGATCACTGGTTACCACAGGAAATGCTTGGCAAACTAAGCACGAGATTTATTGGTGATAAATTTTGCCAGTGTGAAGCCATGGTGTTAATAAATGCATTGCTTACAGCATGTCCAAAAGACCATGAACTATACAGCAAATGGCACCTTCTCTGTGAAAAAGTTAAGACAATAATGTAATTCAAGATAATGATGATTACTCTTTGTAATGATGACAACTTTGGAACAGTAAAATAAAATTTAATAATAGATACCCTTTTTTAAAAAAAAAGCATAGCTTTTTTTTTTTGGAGGCAATTGAGGTTAAGTGACTTGCCAAGGGTCACACAGCTAGTAAGTATCAAGTGTCTGGTCTGAGACTGGATTCGAACTCAGGTTCTCCTGACTCCAGGGCTGGTGCTCTATCCACTGCACCACCTAGCTACCCCATGACTTTTTTTTTAAACAGAAATATTATAACATGGGGCAGCTAGGTGGGTAGTGGATAGGGTGCTGGGCCTGAAGTCAGGAAGACTCATCTTTCTGAGTTCAAATCTGACCTCGGACACTTACTAGCTGTGTGACCTTAGGTAAGCCACTTACCTGTGTTTGCCTGAGTTTCCTTATCTGTAAAATGAGTTGGAGAAGGAAATGGCAAACCACTCCAGTGTCTTTGCCAAGAAAACGCCAAATAGAATCACAGAGTCAGACACAACTGAAACAACTGAATAACAACAACACAACAGTTGCAATGCTAATTAGCTGTGTGATCCTGGGCAAGTCACTTAATCTCTTTTATTTTAATTTCATTCTTTGTAAAGTGAAGAGGATAGCAATGCCTACTTACTGGGAGGGTGTAAGGATCCAGTGAGATAATATGCATGAAACACTTTACGTAATGCTAAATAAATGGCAGGGATTGTGTGGACATTAATTTTTAGACACATTTTCACACGTGTATGACACTGTCCTGAGCAATGTAATATTTAGTTTTTGAAAAATAATGGTATATATGGGAGTTATTCTAATGCCTAAGAATTATAACAACCCAAAATGTTTTTTTTCCTGTAAAAAGCATTTAAAATGCATGAATTCAAAACTAATAAAAGTAATTTCAAATTTTTCTAATATTTTATTTTTTCTCCTCAGTTACATGTAAAAACAATTTTTAACATTTGGTTTTTGTTTTTAATTTGAGTCTTAATTCTGTCTCTGCCTCCTGCCTTTCCCTGCTCCCTGAGATGCTAAGCAATCTGATATAGGTTGTACATATGCAATGATATAAAATATATTTCCGTATTAGTTATCTTGTGGAAGAAGACTTGAACCAAAAAAGAAAGAATGAAAGGAAGGAAAGCAAGGAAGGAAGAAAATGAAAAATAGTTTGTTTTGGTCTGCATTTATACTCTTATCAGTTTTTTCTCTGGAAGTGGATAGCATTTTTCATCATTAGTCCTTTGGGATTTTCTTGGGCATTATATTGCTAAGAATAGCTAAGTCATTGACAGTTATTCATTGTGTAATATTGTTGTTACTGTAGACAATCTTTTCCTGGTTCTGCTCACTTTACTCTGCATCAGTTCATGTACTTTCCATGTTTTTCTGAAATCATTCTGCTCATCATTTCTCATAGCACGATAATATTCCATTACAATCATATATCACAACTTATTCAGCCATTCCCCAATTGATGGGCATCCTCTCAATTTCCAACTCTTAGCCACCACAAAAAAAGCTGCTATAAATATTTTTGTATAAATAGGTCCTTTTCCCTTTTTAAGAAAAATCTTTGGGATACAGACCTAGCAGTGGTATTACTGGGTCAAAGGGTATGCACAGTTTTACAGCTGTTAGGGCATAGTTCCAAATTGTTTTCCAGAATGGTTGGATTAATTCACAGCTCTACCAACAGTGCATTAGTGTCCCAATTTTCCCACATCCTCTCCAGCATATCTAATTTTCTTTTTCTGCCATATTAGCCAATCTAATTGGGTGTGAGGTAATACCTCAGAGTTGTTTTAATTTGCATTTCTCTATAGTAATTTAGGGCATTTTTGTATGACTATTGATAGTTTTTATTTCTTCATCTGAAAACTGCCTGTTCATATCCTTTGATCATTCTTCAATTGGGGAATGACTTACATTCTTATAAATTTGTCTCAGTTCTTTATATATTTGAGAAATGAGGCCTTTATGAGAGAGACTTGCTATCAATTTTTTCCCTTGAATTTTCTGCTTTTCTTCTAATCTTGGTTGTGTTGATTTTGTTTGTGCAAAACCTTTTTAATTTAGTATAACCAAAATTATCTGTCTTACACTTGTAATGCTCTTTATCTCTTCCTTGGTCTTAAATTCTGCCTTAATCATATATCTGATGGGTAAAATATTTTATGTTTCCCTAATTTGCTTGAGGTACCACCCTTTATGTATGTGGTATATGGTGTGAGATGTTGGACTATACCTAATTTCTGCTATGCTGTTTTCAAGTTTTCCCAGCACTTTTTGTCAAACAGTGGGTTCTTGTCCCAAAAGCTTGAATCTTTGGGTTTAGCAAACACTAAATTAGTGTGGTCATTTACTACAATGTTTTATGTACCTAATCCATTCTACCAATCCACCACTCTATTTCTTAGCCAGAGGCAGATTGTTTTGATGATTACCATTTTGTGATACAGTTTGATATTTGATGTTACTAGGCCACCTTCTTTCACATTTTATTTTCATTGATTCCCTTGACATTCTTAACTTTTTCATTTCAAATTTTTAATGATTATCTCTGAATTATAAACAATATGGTACAAAAAGTTTTACAGAAGCAATAAAAATTATTCTATGCTTTTTTTTCAGGTCCTTAATCATTTACATAAAAAATTGAAAAATATGTCAAAGAAGTCAGAAGCATCGAAGAAAAAGGTGAAGTTTCACATATTTGCAATGTTTCATCCCTAAGCATCCTTTTCATTTTGACCTCAAATCTTAGAGTATATTTATTCTTAATTAACGTTCTAAGCATTTGATAACCTAAAACAAACTTTTAACTTAAATATCTACATTAGATATTGGGGCAGTGAGTTAACATAAAGGTAAGGAAAACACAAATAAATATATATAATGGTGAATCCTGGGGGAATATATGTTTAGAGGATATTGGCCCTTAGAAGGAGAAGTGGATAGGGGTGATTAGAATCAGAATATAGAGGAACAAGTTTGTGATAAACTCTCTCCCTTCTATAGTATACCCACTGCACTCTTCCAAATTGTTCCAGGAAGGCATTGGCTTTGTTCCTTTAGATGTGAGTATTGTGAGTACTGTGATGCCCTCACCTTTCTGCAAAAAGACTTCAGGCTGTCCTTTGATTTTTGCAGTCTTGTGTTTGTGCATGGTCAGAGAAGAGGATATGAAAGGGTTTACAAAGAGTTGCAGGGGAAATTATCTCTTTGCTATTGTCTTTCCTGCTAAATGAATTCTAGTATAAACAAGTCTTTTTTGATTAATGTTAAAACATGCAGCTGTCCAATTTTTATTTATTTTGCAAGTTGTTATATTTTCAAGAAACACTGCATTCTCTAGAACTAAATCATCTGGACTCTTGTTTTGACAGTACTTATCTGATTTCTGTTTGGCACAGCATAACCAGGACTTCAGGCAGCATAATCATGGTGATGGAGGGTGACATACATCTAATTATTTTACTTGTAAGGGTTGTCATATTTTCTCAAAGATTTTTGTTCTATTTTTTTCAAACTGAATATTTGAAGTAAAAGATTTCCTTAGTGGGGGAGACAGGGTTATGCTACACAAAATCATCTTTCTGAACAAAATAGTAGTATAAAAGAACAATTTGTAGAACTAGAACATCGCAGGGTTTTCAGGAATCCTAGAAATATTACTTCCACTTGATAATGAATATAGAAAATTCTGATACCACACAGTATTTCAGATGGATGAAATCTCTGTTGTAATATGTTTAGTGATGGTGAACTTATTACATCAATTATGTCACATTCTATTTTTAGAAATTGTTTTTCATATCTTTTGTATTTTCATCCTATTTGGTTCAAGATATAACTGATCCTTCCTCCATCTAGAAGGCTGCCCCTTATAACAAAGAATTTTAAAAAATGCTTCCCAGTAAGACTAACAAATTGATCAGGTTAGATAATATATATGACGTTTCTTATTCATAATCCCCACCTCCTCACAAATGAGAAGGAAGTACATTCTCATATTTCTTCTCCAAACTCAAGATTGGTCATTATAGTTACACACATATTAGTTTCAATTTTCGTTTTTCTTTCTATTCATATTAGTCTAATCAATGTGCATGTTATTTTCCTTGTTATGCTTGTATCAGTTCTTATGTCTTCATATTCATCCCTTTGTTCTTTATGTTTAATATTTTTAATGGCACACCAATATTTCATAACATTAATAAATAATAATTTGTTTATCCATTCCCCAATAGATGATCATGTATTTTGTTTCCATTTTTAACTATGAAAAATACTTACAATATTTTGGTGTATACTGGACCTTTTTTTTTCTTCTTTGTAACTTTGGCCTCCTAGGACAATTTGCTCAGCACTGGAGATTCTGGGTCAAAGGGCATATAGCTATACATTTTACTCACTTAAGATAATTCCAAATGGCTTTCCAAAATAGTTAGATTGATTCACAAGTCAGACTTCAAGGTGTTAATATTTTTGCTTCTCTACTGCCCGTTCAATATTGATTATTCCTATCTTTTCCATCCTTATAATCACATTATATATATTTTTCTTTTTTTCCCCCTTTTTAGGCAATTGGGGTTAAGTGACTTGCCCACGGTCACACAGCTAGTAAGTGTCAAGTGTTTGGTCTGAGGTCGTATTTGAACTCAGGTCCTCCTGACTTCAGAGCCAGTGCTCTATCCTTTGCGCCACCTACCTGCTCCAACCACATTATATTTTTAAACAACTCCAAGTTTTAGAAAGTTCTTCCTTAGATTAAATGGAAATTTGCTTCCAGATGCCTGGATAATTTTAATATCCTTTAGCCCTTCAAGTATTCTTTCTGGGGCATAATGTCCAGATTTCTTGACCTAGACTTGTCAATTTTTATTTTGGACACACCTCTTAAAATGTAGTTGCTAGCATAGAATGTAATATTCCCTGCATAGTTTGGTCAGTTCACAATATGGTGGGCCTATTGCCTCTTTCATTCTGAACCTTGTATTTCTGTTAATGCAGCCTAAGATTGCATTATTTTTTGACCACCACCTTGTACGATTGACTTATAATGAGTTTACAATCATTAAACAATCCTTTTGTAAAGCACAAACTTTTGTAAAGCACAAACTATTGTAAAGTCACTTTGAAGAAATTAATATTTCATAGCCTTTTATTCCTTTGTAGTTGACATTTTAACCCCAAGTGGAAGATTATGCATTTTATTCCTGTTAAATTTCCTATTGTTAATTTGGGCTCATTGTTGCTGAAGCTCCTCTAAATCTTTTTTGGATACTGATTTGTGCCATTCAGTGAAGAAGTTTTCACCCTGAAAGTAACTAGGAAATTCATGAGACATGCTCCAAGGGATATTCTTTAGATATCCTTTAGTAAAACATTACTGGTAGATGAGTATACATGGGGATTCAGGGTCATATTCAAAAAATGGTTATAGAACCTCAACATCAATTTGAGAAATGCATCAAACTTGGAGAGAATATACCTTGGAAGAAAGGTATTCTAGCATCTTAGCATTGAAGGCATACAATAAGGAGAAATTTGGGTGTAGTATCACATGCATTATAATTTTGAAAACATATACTTCAAAAGAGTTAGAGAAAGGATAGATAGGATCCAATGTGTCCAAAATTCTTCAGGGCTGTTGTCATAAAAGGTGAGGGAAGTATTCAGTGATGAAATGCTAACAACATAAAATCATGTGGTACTAATGAGGAAGAAATGGAATGGTTGACTCAAGAAATTAATTTGGATATAGAAAGAATTCATCAGCCAACTTAAATGTTAAAAGAACCACTTAGAAAATGGATTCTCTACAAACCTTCTTCTATTCAGCATGAAAGCAAATAAGTCTAGGCTTCACCCTGCATGTACACAATAAAATAATGAGATTAATAATTTTCATAATTCTATTCATTATATAACCATATTTTCCACTAACTTTTATTTTTTGAATGTTTCAATAGAATTTTTTGTTGATTTACCAAATAGTCTCCATATTTCATAGCCAAGATTTTCATACCCTCTGGGGGATATATGTATTCCCAAGTGGTTGAATCCCTGGAATCAAAGATGGAAACATGGATTGTGAGCTGAGAATGAATAAAAATGATTAGCATGGTCCTATAAAAATAATAAAAGATAAAGTTCAGAAGAAATTTGAACTAATAATAAATGTAAAGAACAAGAGAAACAACTTTTTAAGCTATGTTGAAGTAAGTGAAATTTTAAAGAAAGAATAGATACTTTGGGAGGATAGGAAGATGATAACTGATAACTCACACTTTGAAGAATGTAGAGCTACTCTATTTCTGTTTCCTCTGCCGAGAAAGATCTTTGAACTAGGAAATATAGATTAAACAAGGTTAACAGTAAATTGAGGGCTCTCAATGAGAGTTAGAATGAGACAATCAAATGAAACGTTGTAGTAGTTGATAAAGCTAAATACACCAACTCTATGGTGAGACCAACAAGTTTGGTAAAATCTGAGAGAATTAGAAAATAAATGGTCTGCCAGAAATTAGGTTTAGAGCAATTACTTACAACTTGCAGCAAGCCAGTCAACAAGCATTCATTTAGTGTCTATTATGTGCCAGACATTATGCTAAGTGATGGGGATACAAAGTAAATGCAGAAGATAGTCCCTGCTTTCAAGAAACTTGCAGTTTAATGGGTTAGAAAGCATTCAAACAATTATGTACAAATGAATTGTATACAAGATAAAGGAGATAATTCATACAGGGAAGGCTATAGCATTAAGAGGAATCTGAAAAGATTTCTTGCATGAAGTAAGATTTTTGTTGGTACTTGGGGGTATGTGGGGAAGAAATGAGGAAGGACAGATTTCCATGCATAGAGGGCAGCCTGTGGAAATGCATGGAGTTGAGAAACAGGGTGTCTTGTTTGGGGAACAGCAAGGAGGCTAGAGTTCCTGGATCAAAGAAGATGGGGATAAATAAGGTATAAGAATACTGGAAATAAAGGAGGAGGCCCAGTTATTAAGGACTTTGAGCACCAGAGAATTTTATGTTTCGTCCTGAAGGTGATAGGGAGCCATTGGAGTTTATTAAATAAGGCATAACATCATCAAACCTGCACTGAGTGGATGATAGACTGGAATGGAGAGTGCAAAGCTGTGCCAGTTGTAAAAACTGTGATCAATACAATGACCATTAGTGATTCCAGATGACTGATGATAGAACATACAATCTACCTCCTTAGAGATATGTGAGAAATTTGCTTGACTACATATATTACAAAGGATTTGTTTTTCTTTTCTTCTTTGTCAGTGGGGTGAGAAATGATACTTATTTTAGTTAAAAACAATTAAAACAGGGAGATTAGGTGTGCTACAGAGATGAGATGTTGCATGCACTTTCAGATGGAATCACTATATGTTTAGTTTTACTTTATTGTTTTACTTGTAAGGTGGAAATGAAGAGAAATGGGAGGCAGCTGTGAGCATGGAGTCAAGAGATGGCCTTACTCTTGCTCTTGCCATCTCCTCATTATTATTGTGGTTTTCATAATGTCAGCTAGGCTGCACATGAATAGAGTGCTTGGACCTGGAGTCAAGAAGACCTACATTTAAATCCAGCCATGTACGCTTACTAGCTGTGTGACCCTGGGCAAGTCACTTAACCTCTGTTTGCCCTCATTTTTCAAACGGGGATATAATAGTACCTATC